GTTACTAGTGAAAGTTATGCCCATTCGAGGATCTTGAAAAACTATTTTGGGATCTTTGAATTTAGGATCTTGTTAAACATAAATATAAGATTTTCAACTCATAATATTGTGACTATTGTACTAAATATATCAACCAATAAATGTGAATTTAGTGTAAGACAAATTCACAATAATCACAATTTTTATTTATCTGATTGGTAGATCTTATTCGTAAACATCACCAAAATCACAAAATCCGCCCATATGTATTATTGTATAATTACCCGCCTTGAGAGTTATCTAGACAGTAAAGGAGTTCTTATTCCTCGTTTTTCTATGGACTTTGTTGTGATAGCTTCATTCTATAAAACTATTTCTCAAGTTTTTTGTGTTCTCATATTTTAAGCTGAAAATAAACTTTTAACATAACGAATAACAATTTGTTTTTTGTCTATAATGTAGTGACAATTTAGCATTTTATTAGTTGTGGATATATATTGTCACTTGTATGATGTCAAGTAAACGGGTATATCACGAATATTATAAAGAAATTAACTATATTTTTAAACAAAATTTTTTTTTATTACTATATCTAAATTAATATTTCATTATACTTAATTTGGATTCAATATCTGGACGCTGAATCTAATTCGGCTGAATATTCTAAAGTATGGTTTTTCACATCCTTCAACTCCATTTATTTCAGCACAAGTTATTCCAAACTCGATCTGCAAAATTAAACAGTTCTCACGCTGACAAATCCTTGATTTACAACTTGGGGTGTTTGTCCCATGGTAGTCGCGTTAACATACTCGTAGTATAGCTGATCGCAACCGTCTTCAATACTAACGTGTAAAAATCCCATAGTACCGCCTGGAGCACCCCAAGTGGCGCCTTTACAACCTTCCAAATCAAATTTACTTCCAGCACCCGAAGTGAAATACGTAACAGGAGACGTATTATTTGTAGTTTCTATTTCCAACACATGATTATGACCCGCAAAATAGGCCGTTACACGGTATTTGTTTAAGAGCGATCGAAGGCGAGGAAAATAATAAGTATATGAGCATTCGCCTACTAGCGCATGATGACCTTTTTAAACATGTTAATTTAGAAAGATTGATAAAATGTATCGAAAGAAAACTAGACTAATTAATTAAATACACACCAACAACAAAAATCCATTTAATATGACTGACAGCCTTTAATTGATCTTCTATCCAATTTAATCTTTTTTCGATGTTATCGCTATTATTAAAACCCATGTTTGCAAGATTAGCTTTAAGTCCATTCTTGTCTGTTAAATTATTATAGTAATATGCGAATGGATCGGTGTCGATATGTATCCATGCAACTTTTGTTTTATGTTTCCCAAAAGTTGATATACGAACGTAATAAAGTGAAGGAAAAAAGAATCTCTTGTCATTTAACCAATAGTGATCTACTAGTGCTGAGACGTTCGTATACCTATATTCACATGTATAACAATTTATTTTAATATGTCAGTTTTTTTTAAGTGTATTAATTAAACGATTAAGCTATTACCAATCGTGATTTCCAGCAATAGTGATCCAAGGAATGTCAGCTAATCTTTCAGTGTATACATCCAACCAATATGTTTTAAATTTTGGATCATCTACACTTAGAACACCATCATAATCTTTGTTGTCAATTTGATAAAAATTATCTTTATATAAATAAAGACGGTTATATTTATTAAATATTCTTTTATATAATAATAATATATAATAATATATAATAATAAAGATTAAGTTACCACCAACGTTAAGAATAAACTGAGAACTATTCCACTTTGCCCAATTCTTCATAGCATCGGCAACAGATTGTTGTCCAGATCCATTCCCTTGATATCCCCAATCACCAATTACTAAAAAGTCTAATTTCTTAACATTGTAAGTTTCTTTGAATATTTTTGGGTATGGTGTAGCAGCTGTAGAATTTATAGTTCTATTATTATTAGTTTTACTATTCTCTGCATAATTTTTGCTAAAAAGCAAAAAAAAGCAGATTATAAAAGATATATTGTATATATCAAATATTCCTTTATATGATAATTTCATTTTTTGTTACCTAATAGTTAGTTTTGATTTATGAAAAAAAAAGTTGATTATATATCTTTTCTATTTCAATCAACAATTGACAAATAATAAAAGGCTTTGGTTCGTCGTATGCATCATGAATTTGAATAAGTTACACGCTAATCATTCCGATTTGTACAATAACGATTTTTTTCTACTAATGGATTCGACGAAATTAAGCCTCCATTATTAGTGATTGTGAATTTTGTATTATTTATCATTATGTGAAACTATTTTTATAGTATTACTATTATTAGTGTTACCACCTTTAATTATCTAATTTATATGCATGCATAATTTCGCAATTACGTTCGTATTTACACATGACGCCCACATACGAACCTACCTTCATACAGTCATATATATATGTATATATATATATACAAATCATCGAGGGCGTTTCGGCAGTTCCCAAATAATCCATCAGAATAATGACCTTGTGTTGGGCATTTTTAATTGCATTGGCAAAATTAGAAAATGTGAATAACACCAACGATCATAATTTGAAAGGTAACCCCGAATCGGGTAGAGCGTGGCTTTGGCATTTTGTCATCACGCAAATCTCTAAAGCTAAAAGATCAAATACAAGATGTATTCTAGAAGCGGTAAAAAAAATGTTTTGTATTGATAAATCAGGTGATATTTATGATTAACGCTAAATGTCGTGTACCGATACGTACGAACATTTCAGGCATAAGTGCCACCTGGTTAAATCAATAAAAATCTCCCATCTGACTTTTGATACTGTTCTGTGTATTTTTTTTACAAAAGATATTGTTAATTATACTAAGGAACCTGGTAAAAGATCGAAGCAAAATTAAAGAGCTATTTGCATATACGGTATTATCCCTTAAACAACAGACTTTTGCAGGCAAATTTTTCTGCAAATCTGTTAAAGGGATAGCCTTATAGTTCAATAGAGTTATATCCAGAATAACGGAGATTTTTTCATTGGTTTTTCGGACTAGCATAGCATTCAAACAACCCTCACTACGCTTCGAACAATAATGGCCACTTAATTACTATAAAGGCAAGGTAGGTTAGTCATGGTCTGAAAATCAAAGCATTTACTGTCGCGGCTGATTATGAAATCGGATTATTGTGAAATTTGGGGTCTCAATTTGAAAATATAGGCCCTACCAAAATCC